ACCCACCTGGACGCAATCCTAGGCAATATGCTCTAGAGGTCCCTGCTTGAGCAGGGAGGTTGGACTAGATGATCTCCAGAGGTCCCTTCCAACCTAAACGATTCTGTGATTCTGTGCATGGCCATGAGTTAAGAGGCAGTGGCCACAAGCTGGAACACAGGAAACTCCTATTGCAGATTATGGAAAACTTTTTTATTATGACGGTAGTCCCTTCCAAGAACAGGTTGCCCAGAGAAGTTGTGAGATCACCATCCTTGAAGGTGTTTAAGATTCAAGTGGACGTGTCCCAGAGCAAACTAGTCTGATTAGACCTACTTTGTGCAGGGGTTTGGATTAGGTGACTTCTACAGGCACCTTCCAACTTATGTTATTCTATGATTATACAGCTTCAAATATGTTAACACTTTTCTGGAAGATTTCTGGTTATATTTTAAGTCATTCTCATAACACTGCACAGACCTTTCTATAAAAATTCACAAAGTCAATTACTACTACTCTAGCAGTCTTACTTCTACATGCTTTGAAACAGATAATCAATTCATACAAACAAATATTTAAAAGGAATACTGTTTTCAAAACCTTCTCTCACTTTTCCCATCTTTGTAGATTTCTCTTCCACTCCTTCACTCCTGCATCTAAAATATCTGGCACAGAATCCTGTCTGTTTTATAGCTGATTTATTCTTTTCTTAAAAATACAAATCTCTTGTAAACAGCTGCCTAAAATTAATGTAATTGTAACCATCCAGTTTTAGATGCTGCTACATGATTTTCCAAGAAAGAGATGGCTTGTAAAGTTACATAGGATAAAGAGACAACTGCAACATGGGTGCAGCAAAAAGCAGTGAAAGAAATTATAAAAGTTTATAATAGTATGTGGTAAGATTCTCTCTCTCTCTTCCCAGATGTTGTGAGGTACTTTATGTATTTATGTATACTTTTGATTCTTCAAATGGTGTTGTTCAAGGAACTTGGGGCAGCTATAATTCCAACAGAGCAACGTGTATTACCACATATGCATTGTACTAATACAAATAAATATTATTACTTAAAACTCCATTACAAACGTTTAGCATTTTCACAAACAGAAATTGTAACCATGCACAGTTGTGGATTTCTAACTTGCTTGCTAACTTTAAATTTAGATATTAATTCAAATAGTTGCAAGTAAAATGTATTTTGTGGGTTCTACTCAGCCCAAAAGAAAATTTGTCAAGATAAATTAGTAAGAAAATTTTGACTGGTTTCAGGACTAAGAATTTACTTCATTGTACCAGAATAAATTAGTTTCTTAAGGAGTTTCCATATAGTTCCTATATTATGAATATTCACAGATAGCAATAAATAGCTTGTCATGAATGTGCCTTGGAATGGCATCTTACTGTAACTATGAGCTGAAAACATACACACAGTTGTGTGTTCTTGATCACCTGACGTTTTGAAGATGTTGAAATGCATCTAGAGACTCCCACTACTAATCACAATCTGTAGGCAATAAAGATCCCAGAAAAAAAAGAAGGTATTTATCTTGCTTTCCCCACCTCCACCAACTCCCCCCCCACCCCCGTCCTGTTTTCTGCCTTTAGCTTTGCCTTGGGCAAAAATTAACTCAATTGGTCTCAAACAAACCGTAAATGCCAGCACTCTCCTCAATTCTTTTTCATTTTACAAATTGAAATTATATGCATGTTTTTCTTTCCTTCTTTTAACATAGCTAAGCCATCACCAAGAAAAATGAAGACTACACCATAGCACGTGTAGCAGAATAAAACTAGTTACAACTTTTAGGCCTCAAAAGAGCACTAATAATCTAACAAGATACCAGTGCAGTTTTTAGAAAACTGTATATCAGCCACTTTTTAGGTAGCAAGTAAATCTTGTTAAAAATAAACTGTACAAACTATACATTTCAGGAAGACGCTGCAAACTGTCACAACATTTCTCAAAGGAAAGTCACAGCATGAATAAACTCAGCATTTACTAACAGTAACTTCTACTTTATATATAATTTCCAAAACTCAAGCAGCAACACATAAACATTGAATGTACAGAGAAGGATGCTGCATTTTTGCATTCTTCTCCTGCTCAAGTCATGGTCTTATCACGATTATTTAAATTCTAGAGCATTACTTGGTTGACAAGGTACTGCAGTGCTGCAGGCTACAATCCTCACACAATGCCTAAAGGGTTATTACAGTGGAGAAATTCTACTGAGGACAATGAAAGAGCCTTACCCCTTCCCGAAGACACCTCATTAGCACAGTGTAAGCAGCCAAGGGAACAACCCAGCATTCTCTAGGGTGCTCTTTTTTTTCCTCCTGCAATGAGGCCAACAGCACAAGTGATTAAATCAAAAAAACCCACAAACACTACAATAATCTCACCTACATAAAAAATAGATAACAGATTCTTAGCAAGACTCATATTTTACATATTTCAAATTATTATATGCTAGAAAACATATTAAATTCCAGGCTATGGTTACTGCCTAATGTTATTTCACGTGCAGCACAAAAATTGCTATGTTTATTACCTTATTTTAATATTCTCCAAGATCTATAATGGAATTTGTCCTAATACTTCTATTTTTCATTGATTCTATTTGATTCACATACACAAAATGATCTCACACACTCATCTTGATCATTTTGATTAATTCAGAAAGAGACAAATGATTACTGGAAGTGAACAATACTTCTCTTGAAATGTGATTTAATTATACCAAAACAGAAAATTACTTTTGTTTGTGAACTAAAAAAAGTAAGTTTTCTTTGGAAAAAAACATTCAAGTTATTCAGGGAAGTGCAAAGTGTTTAATAAAACTTACTAAATGGAATATCCTTCAGTACAAAGTCAACACTAGTTCAAGATCCTTACGGATATTTCCTTGAAATCACCCTGTTAGAAGGGCTAATTCACTGCTAGTTGAATCAGGATTTTGATTCTGCCGTTTGAAGTTAATGAATTCCCCTTCTCCCCCACATACACCCTCCGCAATGTAAATTTTCAGATTTAAAGGAGGACATTTGGATTTTGCAAACAAATGAAGATTTGACTAAAACACCATATTTAGGCTAATACACAGCAAGTGTATACAGTGAAAACAGTGAAAGAATAGCCTCATTTGGGAAAATAATGAGAAACAGTATACATGGATGATACGCCATAAAACTGTGTAACTTGTTTCAATAAGTTGACAAAGTATGATAAGCAACCATTCCCTTCAGAAATTATGTTTATTGAACTGATTATATTAGCAAATTTTTTTTTAGCCTACTAACTAACTGTTTATAATACAAAGCATAGAATGCACAAGGTGGGAGGTTAAAGATGCAGAAACGATTTATATTTTCTGAATTTTCTGATTTCCGAGTGGCCTACGCTATCACATCTTGTATGCTGAATTAATGTCAGGTATTTAACTAAAGCATGCCACATTAGTGGGGAAAGACTGTTACTGAATTGCCTCCTAAAATTCATTTTCCTTCTTTACTGAGAAGAAATGAAAATTTTATTTGCAACTTATATCAACAGGGAAAATGAGTTCGTTAAATAGTACATTTTTTAGCTTTATTTCTGCTAATTTTCTATTAAGAGGTATGGTACAATTTTCCTCGGAAGTAACTTGCATACGACAATAATTAAACTGGTTCAACATGAGGCAGAGACATCAGGTCTCTCCGTACCATTTTCGACCTCCCTCATCTTATCCGGAAAATGACATGTTGACATTTAACCACAGTTTGCCTTCCAAGGCCTAGCACATAAGTTCAAGAGAACAGATCCCAAGTTTCAAAGAAGGATAATAGGTTACTCTCCAGCAATCAAGAGCGGACTCTTCTCCACCTGGAAAAGGAAGGTGTCACAGCAAAGCTAAATCAACAGCCTACGCTGGAACTGGCAAGGATCTGTTTCTCATTTTATTCATCTAGTTTCTGACTATTTAAATTTAGTCAATTTAGTAAATTTAAATTCAGTTTTTCTGAAACTCTGAATACTAAAGGTACTACAAAAAAATCAAAGCCCCAAGAAATGACAGTCTTGAAACATTAATAGTTTTTTCACTATTCAAATTGATAAACATCATCCTGCAAGCTTTAGTGTCTAATTAGAGATTGTAAAAAGGCAATGATTCTTAATTACTGAAACATAGATAAGTAATTTCACATATGCAATAAATCTATATACGTTGCCAAACACTGAGGGACATGCCTACTTTCTGCTCATATTGATTTTGCTTAAGCTTTAGGTTCTGCACCCTAACAGTGCAACCAGCAGCAAATTAATAGAAATATTACATAAAACTTGAAAAATTTCCCTTAAGGCAATATACTTAAAAACAACAGAACGTTCTCCCTGAGGTCCACTCACTTCTGCATTACCCTTGGCTTCTGTTTGGAAGAAAAATACAGAGACTGAGTATCAAATCTTGCTTTTTAGATCTCATATGCAAGTACCCACACAACATCAGAGTTCAGGAGAGTAGAGGACATTACAATTATCTAGACTCTTTCCAGTATTTTCTAAGTCACAGAATTGCAACCAGTGACCCTGTACATAACCCAGTGAATCACGCTTCACTTAGATGGCTGAGCTTGATTTTAAGTGTTTGACAATTTATGATATATTGAATTTTCTCCAAAGGTTTGGGTTTTTTTGTTTTTTCAGATGAAGTGGGTCTTGTTATGCTCTCTCAAGTAGTTTCAAACAAGACTCCAGAATCAGTTTTGGTTGACAGAAGGCTTATAGAAGCTATATGTTCATAATAACTGAAAAGAAACACTCAGTCTTTATCATTGTTTAATATTAATATTGTGGTAGAACCTAGAAGCACTTAGCAAAACCTCAGAGGAAAAAAAAAAAACACACTCCCCCACCCCCAAACCAGAAATACCCCTAAAAGCTCACAGTTTAAAAGATAAATGTTTAGGAATTTGATACGGCAACAAAGCAGGTTGAATAGCAAAATGGAAAAAGTACATAAAAAACAAAATAACAGGTTATATATAGTTCTTAATCAACCTGACACAATTATGGTATTTTTCTTAAATAAGTCAAGGCATAATGGTTTGCTGTTTAAAGATATGAACCGAGAGTAAACATGCTCGATTCCTTGTATATTAATATTGACATGGTGCGTGATCTTGACAAAGTCATTCAATAATACTGTTCTGCAGTTTAAACAGCAATAAAATGTCTACAACACTACAGTACTCTGTGGTTACATAGGAACAGTACTGGAAAATGAAAAGCTTTATAAAAAGCAAAAGAATTTTTTTTTTTTTTAAAGTATGACACAAGTGTCAGTATCTCCAAATATACAAATCACACTGGTATCTTTGAAGTTTTACAGAGATACAGTGCCTTGAGATCTTATACACTGAACAGTTCTAAATCTGTTCTTCCTGTTCTCTAATAATTTATTAGTTATAATTCAGAGCAATGCAACACATTGCTATAGATCTTCATGCAACATGATAGAGTCATCATTTAAAAAAAGTAGTCACACTTCAAACATTCTATGTAATTCATAAATACATATAAACATAAAAAATTTTTATTTTATACTTTCAGAGTTAAAAAAACAATTATGGTCAGTACACCCAAATCATTTTGTTATCGGGCTGCTGTAAATAGAATTGTTCTAATCACTCAAGTTTTATTTCAAAATAAAATCAAGTAGTGCAAAATACTAACTCTTGCCAAATACAATTTTCAAGTTGGAGTTTTTGGTTAATTTATTTTTATTAGCGGTTAATATCCTGTAACTTACAATGTATCAGATGATACAAAGTACAGAACTTTTTTCCAAGGAAAACTAAGAAAATATGAAAACACCTAAAACTTAACCGTGACTGTAGATGTATTTTCTATAACTTCTCAGTGTGAGGACATGTTCTGTGTCTGTGTTTGACAGAGATTTTGGCAACTGCCTAATCACCAATGGATGATGTTTGCTAACCTACAAAAGCAAGGCAACGACTTCATCTTGTGGAAGACAAAGTTGTTAGAGAATACGGACAATAAAACATGGGTGTTATGCACACAGCCATAACTATAGTAAGCCAAAATACAGCTCCACATTGTACTCTCATTCCTTTATCAAGTGACCTCACAGACTGGCAACTTATGTGATAGTATTTAGACCAATGACACAATGCACGTAATGCAAAGGCTTGGACTTTGAAGGCTGTCAGAGAACTGCATTCAACATTTGTTTTGGGCTACTCTTCTTCTGTTCAAACATGTCTTAGTTTCTAATAAATAAAAGAAAGTTTTGTGTTCTTAAAATAAGGACAAAGAATGCTGAGGTTTAAAGAGCTGTCACTTTCAATTCCTACCATTAACAGCATTTCTTGTTTAAAGGTTTAAATCAGTCCTAGTCAGAAAACAACCTAATTCCATTTGGAATTAATCAGGATCACTCCATTTCCTTTTCCACAGTACTGTGAATTCAACCATGCCAGGATGATATGTAATATGAACTAAATTAATACATTAATTTATTGATAACACAGGCTGCCTTGATACACACTGTTTTTAATCAAAATCTCCAGCTAAGATGTTCTAACCCTTACATATGCCACTTGGACGCCACCAGTGGTTATGGTGACTGATAAAGTTATTGTTTTATGGAGTTAACAAGACCATCCATATTTGAAGAATGCAATTTAATTCCTCTTAGATGAGGTACATATCTGTATTAACAAGCTCCTCAAAAAGTAAAAAAGAAAAAAGTATCCCAGAACATATATCGACATGAAACTCAACATTCATGCACTTGAGGACACAAGTAACAATAATATTTGCTTTTCATTTACTTTTTCATGGAAGAAAATCATTTTCGCATACATCAAAGAAATCTATAAGGATCACTTGACAGTCTTACCTGATTGGCTATGAGGTAAAGAAGCTCCCCAAGTGTTGGTAAAAGGCATTGTTTCAATTTGCTATTCCTGAAGTTCTCTCTGATCAGTTCAGTTAAAGTTATGATTGCCTAACATAAAAATAAATCATATAACACCACATGTAATCTTTTCTCAGGCAAAATATGCTGTGAAAGGTAATATAAGCTTTATCTGAAATGCCATCTTAATCATACACTCTTTACTTAGGCAAAACATCCATTTACAAAGGATAGGGTAAGCTTGGAAGGATAAGAAAAAAGAACACTAACTACAAAACAGCTCATATTGGACACAGTAAAATACAATATGGAAATAGCCTTGGAGACAACTGTCAGCTATCCCTTCTTCCCTTTCCCACAGGAAAAGAGAAGCAAACCTGCCAGAAAAGAAAGGCTAGTCGCTATTCTTCTTTAAATATCAAGATCTAGAAGTTCCTCTCAGCATCAGGTTACCAAAAAACCAAACCAAAGACAAAAAACCAAACCAAAGACAAAAAACCAAACCAAAGACAAAAGAACGCTGCTGCCTTTTGTGTAGATATTAAACCAGGAGATATGAACTTTAGTTTTGTCTCCTGATCTCAGAGTTTACCAGTGACTCCCTGTGTAACACTAGACATATAATTTACATTTGCTGTATCTCAGAGTTTGTTTGCAAAAATCTATATATAGCATTTATATCGAGAGCAAGAAAATTGAAAAGCAAAAGGGAAATTCTGATTCATCTTGTGCAGATGACCTAGTAAGAAACCACTTTTCCCATACAGACGTAGGACAGGGTTTTAACTCAGTCAGGAGAACAAGTGACCATTTAGCTACCACACACTAAATAGAAAAGCATGCTGTCTGCTGGCTGGGATAGAGAGTTAGCTTTCCCATATATGTTCCAATGCACAGCAAGCATGTAGCGGCAGAGCTGCTAGTTGTTCTTTCAATTAACAAAAGATGGAACTAGCTACGTGACTCCTCCTCCAAAACACTCAGGCCTTGCAAGAGTAAGGAAAAAGACTGTTCACTGAATATGTATTTAGCATATTACTTGTTTCCCTTAAATAGTCACTTCGAGTTAAGGAAGGATTTAGGTCCAATACTTTTAAAGTAGTTAAGAGACACAGCAAAGGCGAGCTCTGTAAACAGATGCTGCCTGTGAAGTCAGTGGTTTCCAATAATTTCCATGCTATGCTGAGTGAGATCTGAAGTTATGTACTTTTAAATGTAATATTGCATATACCATTCTGTTTTGGGAAAATGTCACCTTTTTAATTATTACTGTAAGTTTGAAGCATGGTGTTGCAGCTTCCCCCTGCCCAGAGGATCTAACAAAAAGCACAAAAACCCACATAAAACAGAAAAGTGTACTTCAGGCAAATAACTACATACTTATTGCATACTTCACTATGATATTATACAGAACACATGACAGCAGAAGTCATCACGTTATCAGCTCCCTTAGTATAACAAATGAAGCATGAATTTTATTTCATTCTTCTGTTTATAAATTCTTCCTTTCCCCTTTAAACAGCAAAAGCATTCCAGCACCATCACTAAGACATTTTACTGTTTAGTTATTCTTTGCTAGAGAACAATTGGCTTCTCTATAAAAAAAATTTTAAATAGGACTAACTCGGAAATAGTCCTATCCCAAAGTCATTGGGAACTCCAGGTCCTAGATATTCACCATGCTATAAAAATCTGATTAAAGAGAAAAGTTTACACGGTAAAGATTTTTCTTATCTAACTAATCACATCGTAAGAAAATAAGTACTTAATCACTGTAATATACATTTTATAGCTCTTTGTTTAAAACTACTTTTAAATATGGTTCAACAATAGGGAAGAGATAACCAGCTGAAATAAAAACACTCTGGTGCTTTCCCCAGTTGAGCAACTATTACCTGTATAAACAGCACACACAGCACAGTCCACAGTCACTAACCTCAGGGAACTCAACATTTACAGTCCTATTTGAATACAAACTCATGGCATTTCAACCCAGGCACAAGGGGCCTAAACAGTGGTAGTTTTTGGAAATCATTTACTCTGCATGGTCCGTTTCCTCATACGTTCTCAGACTTAGCTTAGTGTTTGAATGGTGAACCTAATATCCCTTCTTGCAGTCTGGTTTCAAATTAATCCAAGAAGATATGAATTTTTCAGTTCTGATTATATACCTGTCAGCAGGAGCTCCTTTCTCCTTTCCTTCCGTGGAGGATCCATGTCTAACTCTATTGACCATTGGCTTCATTGCATGCTGAAAGAACCACTTCATTTGAGCTGGCCGAGTCCCACCACACTAACACTTACAGGCTTTGTATCCTACACTGAAAGAATGGAAGCAGACAGAAGCCTTCAGATGAACCATGGTTCAGATGACTAGTTTTCAACACAGCCGACAAACCCATATAGCCTGCTCTACAACAAAGAATAAGATTTCATATAATACATTTAAAAATCTGGAACCACCTCACTTGCTGACCAGGAAAAATCAAGCAACTTACAAAATCTGACAGGTGCAGTAAGACCAAAATAATGCAGAGATGCTTAAACTGTGACTTGCTGACCATTATATGTTCTGTAACTGTTTCATACTCTTAAGTAGGGAAGGTTATGTGACAGAGATGGGGTTGTAGAGACAGACTATACCCTGGGCTGAACATTGTGTATGTTCCCTCTGCGGGGCCCTATTTCTAACTGTAACACCACATTGCACACTCTTCTGACCTGGAAGAAAAGCAGCAAGATAAAGATTGACGACAAAATACAACCACATTCATATATTTGCAATGTAGCTACAGCAGCCAATTTTCGTTCCAGTTTTTTTGGTGCTGCTGCTACCAGCTAGACAAAGGAGTGACATGGATCAAAAGCAAACGATAAATATACATACATTCTCTGGGCATAACCAGGGAAGCGTAGCTTGTGAGGAAAAAATGTAGGAGAGGGAAACGAAAGGCTTGCGAAAAGGATGCATGAAGTTGAGCAAACAGATGTAGGTGAAAGGACAATAGGAAAACAGAAGGAGACTGAGATATATACGGTTAGGAGTCTGATCTGGAGTGGAAGAAAGGTGCATTGTCATTCATATGATCAATTTACAATAAAACTCACAGGGACTTTAGTCTATCTTGTTAGGAAAGCTGTGGGCCAAAGCCACTTCTGTACTTACTCCCAAAGGGGAGAGCAAAGCAAACTACAATCCTTCCTCTGAAAGGGATTTAATGTAATCTACCTTTGAAGGAACGCGTGGAGGATTTTTTCAGAGTTCCAGAGTCGCACACTGTTTTACTTCAGGTAGCACAGGAAAAAAGAATAGTTAAAAAAAGTTAAGAAAGAAGGCAGGGCAGGGAAGAGAAAGCAATTGTGTAGTTTTCTCATAAATCATGAGGAGAATCTGGTCATATGTAAAGTTCTTCTGAAATTGTCCTGGATTGCTACTTTCAAAAGATATTCTCTCCTCCGATATCATGTTCTCTGTCCTCTGCCTAAACTCTTCCTCTTTCTCAACTGGTCTCTCAGTCCTAAAGAGCATGCCATGAGAGGCGCCATTCCACTACTTTATCACAACAAATGTGACCCAGAAAACATCAGAAGGTAGTCACAGAACAAAAGAACCGAATCATCTCATAATATCAAATTGGATTCCACTATCTGCACACACAAAAACAAGGTGAATTTGTCTTATGTATTTTACTAGAAATTCCTCTGTTCTGTGCGTTGGTATCAATAAATGAGGCCTATCAAAGCACAGTCCCATCTAGACATTAAGCAAGAAGTGGCTAAAAAGAAAAAAAAAAAAAAAAAGAAAATATCTATTCTGAGTTTTTTCACAAAGCTAAGAGAAATTATTTTGTGATTTTGAACATAAATTTCATTCTGTATAAAACACAAACACATCCAACTACATATAAATGCCAAAACACACATTTTAACTGCTGCTTACTGCATAGCAGATGGGAAATTTGTCATTATATAAACCCCAATAAAATTATGCAATATATTATTAAATCCTTGATCAAACATATCGTATATACTAACAAAAATAAAAATAAAGTTTTTATCCACACAGAGCAAACACAGCAAAACAATATGCGCTTAGAAAATATTTCAACTGAGAGATACGTTAGACAGGAGAAAAAACAAAAGCAATTCTTATTTTCTGAGAGAGGATCAGTAAAAATGTATATAATCTTGAAACACCTGAAAAGAAATTCTTTATCATCCCTGTCTCGGGGTCCAGAATATCAGAATACCCTGACAGAAGAAAGTGCCTTAATGCTAACAAACCAGTTCCGATTTACTGCAAGATATCCTCTTTCAGAGATCTTTATCACAAAACCAGTCATAGATATTGCTTTTTATTCGGTGGATTTTGAACTGCATTCATCAGAAGGTTTACATTTTTTTATGATCACAAATTCAAAGATGGGTAAAAACTGCTGCTTGGTAAGTAAGTATTCTTGTCTTCTAGATCCTTTGCTAATATTAAACTGATTTTTTTTTTTTTTTTTTGCAGTTCATAACATTTCTGTAGCCAGAGGATAGATTGCTGACTCCAAACTTAATGTCATTTGCATCTAGATAGAAAGAGACAAAATACGGACAAAAAGTCTCAAAAGTTCAGAGAAAATAATCTGTGAAAACTACCATAACATCTTAATAGACTTTGCAAGAAAGTATTCTGTGAAAAATCACATGGCACAAGAATTTACCAAAGAGTTTAAGGAAGTGAAAGGTGAATCAGATGGTAAAAAATATTCAGGAGTTCAGAGTTTAACAGTCATCCCAGAAAACAAACATCACTTCTATCTTAACTAAAAATCATAAAATGATTTTAAATCATTAAATACAGTTTACAAATATATTTGGCAACACAGCACTTTCTCTTTCTTAGAGTCCTAAAGAGTTTGTCAATGTTCTTTTATTTTTCCTTCATCTTCTGACCTTAACAACTTCATAACAAAACCCCAAATTCGGTACAGAGAAATAACATAAAAACTAGAAATAAGTCTTCAAATGAAGCAAAAAGATCTACTAAACAAACTTTGATCTCTTCCTCTTTTTACATAAAGCTATGCTCATTAACTGCTTTC